TGGTAAAACAAAAAATGCTCATGTTGGTTATCACATTACTAAGCTACCATGACTTAATCCAGAAATGTACCTGCATGTGAGACTTTAGAACTGGTACACTTCTCTACCTGGTTTATTGTGTTTACTAATGTATATTTTTCTAAATATACAGATATTTCAATCTAAAAAATTCTATATTTATCTGTAATTTCTATCTGTTTTGGACAGTGCATGAGGTGCTGTAAAATTCTGTACATATAGAGACTTATAGAAGAAACACTGTCGTTGCCCTGTGAATGAAAAGTTATACATAGAAGTACAGTCAGTATGCCAAGACCTGTAAGTTATTTCCCTGAATTCACCAAAAATTCCCTTAAGCGTGCACCAATCTCAACTTTCATGTAAATACCCTGGTGCATGTGTACCCAGATGATTACTTTGCTGTCTCTAAATGTTACTAGCAGGTCTATTTTAGGTTCTGCATCGTGACAAGATGCAGTTCAAGTTTAGTGGGATAATTATAATGGAAAGTGGGATAATTATAATGGAATATGTCATCTTGCATAGATTTATAAAAGTCTTTCAAAATGTTCTGCAAATATACAGTGAAGGTAAAATTGGAGGAAAATCACAGACCTTTGTAGGCAAGGAAAATTGAATTTATAACCAACGCAGTATCTGTAACTTGTGCCGTGTTCTCAGATCAGGGCAGCTCTGTGTACTTAGTCATACAAAAGCTTTGTGAAGCAGGATGGTGGATCAGCTCATTGCTTTTGAATTTGTGTTTATATAAGCTGTCACATCTTGGATAGGCTCAGAATGTGACATTTATTTCCCCGTCCTCTGTACTCACTGCATCTTCTAAAATCACACCTAAGTGACTTGCTGTACAAATTGCCTGCAGCTCAGTGCTCAGAAGTCATCTGGGTTTGGTTTTGTTTTGAAAAGGGTGATTCACATGAGAAAAAGGAAGACTTTTTTCTCTTTGAAACACAGAAAATCCTTGGCTGGGTACCCCCTTGAGCCCAGCTGGCCTGTCTGGTATGCTTAAGGACCAGTGGAGGACGATCAAGCAGAGTAGTCCACAAATAAGGAACTATGGGTTCTCACTTGTCCTTATGCATGAGCTAATATTGTGTACATAAATTCAAACCTCCTTCACCTATTCCTTGGTTTCCCATCCAGGCTTCCTCTAGCTTACTGCTCCGTTCAGACTGAACCTTGAGGCAGATGCTGTTCCTCGCTCGCTGTGCCTCTAAATGCAGCTCTAAAACAAATACAGCTGGAGCTCTGTCACATCTGTCACGCAAATCTGTACAGACTGTTTGTTTCATGCAGGGTTTCTTTCCTGCCTCACCCAAATTCTGAAGGGTTCAACTACCACATTGTTATTGCCAAACTTCATGATACTACTTTTGCAAAAGTGGTGAGATCACTTTATTTATGTCTACATAGCAGTTACTGGATGCAAAGACTTGTAGTCTGCTAGGCCTCTTGCCTTAAGTACCCCTCAGCTCCCAGCTGCCCCCCAGAACCTCTCCTGGGCCATTGAAAGGGTTTCTGTACTTAAAGGTACTTTAATTTGCTTTCTTTGGTGGACTGTGTGACTGACAGTGCTGAAGTCATGGCCCCCTGTTCTTTTTTTCTGGCTTTTTTTTAGCTTCTCCTTCTCAGTTTTCAAGTATGTTTAACAGGCTTTCTGATGGAAAGTGTCTGGGGTTCTCCACTCATGTCTTGTAGAGGAAATAACAGTCAATATAAACATTGGTATTTAGGACTAGTGTAACTTACTGGTTTTAGGCCCAAAAGAGACACTTAAAAATAGAGTAAAAAATGCTTGTAAAATAACCAGTTTGGGTTATTTTACAGGCAGTGTTGGCTTCCAAACATATTAAAGGTGTGCTCATGTTCACACACACATGTAAAACTTAGGGGTAAATACTGCAAGAAATTCAGGCAGTATCTGGTAATTTACCTGAATTCTCCATGGTGGGATGCTATTCCACAAATGGTCCCATTTTCAACTGCTGAACTCTTGAGTTCATTTGCTGGTATTGCAGCTGAGATTTACCTGTACAGGCTCAAAAACAGACCCCAGCTTGGTGAAGGCTGTTAAGCAATTTCACCTACAAAAAGAATTTATTCAGCAGGGGTTCAGCAATATTTATATTTTATGGAATAAATTACACTTGAAGTAAATTAATTTTGTTCTCAGTATCTGGAACCATTTCTTACTTTCATTGGGTATGGAGTTCCTTTTGCTATTAGGGCAGTCATTGGACAACACAGTTGAAAGTAGTCCTGAAAACACTTTTTCCCATTTAGCCTTCTCCCTTTTATGGCAGCAGCTCCATGCCAATGCTTCTCCGTGCAACTTTGGCTGTCCTCATGGCTGAGCCAAGGATTATTCCACACAAGTAGCCAGCATTTACCTAAAACACAGCAGAGCCTCTTCCAAAACCCCAAGTAACTTCTCCGTTATTTGACCTCTCACGATACGTAGTATAGTGCAAAATGAATGGCACTGCTTTGTACAGTTCCAGGGTGGCAGCCAAATTGTTGGTTGCAAAGAAAAACTTGACTGATTTTTGGTTGGTTTAGGTCTTGTACACAATTATATATGGAGATAACTGTTGAAATACATTTTTCCCCCTATGAAAATGCATGTTGAGCATCCCTTCCCTGCCCCTGGTCCCCCATCATATATTGCCCATGTGTAACAATTGCACACTGTGGTATAAGGAGGGGAACCACCTCTGTGGATTTTAAAATACAAGAAAGTTTGCCTCTCTCCCACCCTACACTGGGCTAAGAACTGTAGAATCTTGGTTAAGTGTTTGGGTTTAAATGTCTGTTAGAACTCTGTCACTTTGTGTTTCCCTACCCTGCTTCTTCTCACAACTGCTTTTGCCAGTTGGAAGCTCTTGTGGTTTTTGTTTGTTTGTTTGTTTTCATTTCTACAGCATATTAAATTAAACTGGATTTGACATTTGTAAAATTTTCAAAACTGCTCTCCTGTAAAAAAATTAGTTTCTTTAGCTGAAAACTTCCTACAAAAAAAAAAAGTTAACTATTAGCTAGACTTTTAATGTAAACCTGAAAATTATTTAGTACCTAATTGTTTGAATACTGTACTGTAGAGCAGGCCTAGGATATGGGACTTCTTAGCATTGTGACTTCATACTGATAAAGTCAGCTACTACGTGGGATGTTTTTAAATTGTGACTTGTTTTCTAAGACCCCCCTCCTTGTCTTTTTCACAGCTAATATTTTCACAATAAACACAGCCAAACATAAAAATATTAATGTACAAATTATGAAATTCTGTTAATTCCCAACAAAATATTTTTGTATATAATAAAGATTTAATATTGAAAAAATGTAATTGGCTTTTTTCCTGATTGTTTTTGGTAATACTCTTGAATTTTAGCCAAATAAGGTATCAAGGAGCAGTCAGTGCACCTCTGCCTTTTTATCTTCAGATCTCAGGTGCTCCACGTTCAGAAAAGCAGCTTTTCAGTTGGTCTTATTTAGCTCCATGTTCATGCATATGCCAAATCCCCATTCCATGTACAGGAAGACCTCGGGGCCTCTTCGGCCACCCTGTGAATGTCACCATTGCTGAAGCTGGGTGCCCTGTTTTCTGAGCACTGCAGCACTGAGGGATTCACTCTCTGGGACCTGCACTGTAATTACCCAGTGTACAAAAGCCTGGGGGACTCAGGACTGAGCAGCTTGATGGAGGAAAGTGCTGGTTCCTGGCAGCACAGCAGAGCCTGCTGGCCTCTGGAGATAGCACATGCTTTTTGAAAAGAGGCTGCTGACCTCCTTCCAGATTGCAAAGGTATGGATTCTTCCCCCTTCCTCCTGGGGAATGCAAAGGGAAGCGGTATTTTCAGGAGGTAAGTCAGGATGTGGAATCAAATCTTTTATGAGACAAGCTTCAGCCTTATCTAAAGCACCCTCCCCTCCAGCTCTTTCACCAACTCCTTTCCTAGGGAAGACCACATCTAAGCATTTTCTGTATGAGGTCAGCCTGTCACAAGGAATTGCTGGTTTGTCCAAGAGGCAGTAGATGCTCATCCAGCTCTTCTGAGGTGGACTGTGAATTAATTTGGGCCAGTGCAGCTTCAGCTGGGTCCCTGAAGAGGGTATGCTCTTAGCTTAGGGAAGGGCAAGAGAGGAGTTATTTGAGAGACAGGCTGCTTCTCTTGCTCTCTTGGATCTTCTTATTTCCAGTCTGACCTAATTTTAAAATTCACGTGAGTAACAATCCTGTATTCAAGAGCATGGAAGAAGGAACTGGAGAGAAAATGGTGATCATACAGCCTGCCTTAGTGTTCTTTTTTTGCCCAGTTGTGCTGCTCACCCAGTTCTAAAAAGGCCATTCTACCCTACCTGCTGTTCTAGAGGTGCTTCTGTGGTCACAGGAGTGCTGCCAAATGGAGGAAAGCTGGGAAACCCTTCCACAAAGAGTACCTAATGGGACAAAGCCAAGGCTGAAGTGCAGCCAATGACTTCTGCAGATGCACTGATCAATCCTAAAAGCACATCAGCAGATGAGGTGAGGAGCCAAGAGACCCAAGCAACCCTCATGACGAGCAGGAAGCCTGGGCTACCTGGGACACACTCCTGTTGGCCAAGTGTCTCTCCTGCTGCCTGAGTCCAAGGCTGCCCATTCAGTGGGTTGAGCTGAGGCAAAAGCCTAATCATATCTGAAGCCAAAACAGCAGGAAACAAACAAAAGCTTTTCTTTTAAATGATGTCTCCATAGAACACCCAGCCTCTGGGGGGTCTTCCACCTCTTTAAACAAGTTCCCTCTTCTACATCTGTGACACAAAGTCACATCCTGAAAGCAGTTACTCAATATAGTGCACAGAAGGCTCACACCAAAACTCTGTAAAGAAGATCAGAGCACATGGACAGTGGCACTATGTGGATGCCCAAACAGCCACTTGCCATCTGTGCACCACCTTTCAAAGCCAAGGGAACCCCCAAAAGAAAAACAATGGAAATTATATTCATGATGTTATAAGTTGTTCTCTTATTTTGACATAACATTGAACAGAAATTTTTGATGAATTAGTTACAGAGGTAACTTTTGAGTAGTGATTGGCAAAAGAAGACTTTCCCCATTTACACACGTCGTTCCAGAAGCAGTTACATGCTTCCATCCTCCTAAAGGATCTTTCCATCTACACCAGTGCAAGGTTCAGGCAACACCATCAGCTTCATTTAACAGATGAGACGCAGAAATGCCCACAGTGCGTGCAGAGCTACCCTGGGCTCTTGGGGTATGGAAAGGTTCCACAGTGCTTTTCTGCAAAGTCCATGTCCTCAGGGAAAGCTGAACTGCGGTGACTTTCTGATAACTTCTTAGTCCATTTGCTCAAGATCATGTGGGAATAGAGCAGGAAACAACCAGACTCCTATCCACCACCTACGCTGCAGGGCCTGGTTACTGATCACATAGGTTCCTGCTCGTTTGTCAGCCATCTCAGAGTCTTATCTGCAAGCACTGATATTCCACTTACCTGGAACATCATCTTCCCAAGCCCACATTTGCAGTGATCTCTGCTGCATTTCTGTTCCACCCACAATTACAAAAAATTATGATGGAAAAAAAGGCAAAATAGTTCAAAGCATGCAGTGAGTGCTTTACTGACGCTTTGCTACTAGTCAAAGAAACAAGCACTTAAAATATCCTATGGGTGAAATGATCATTTTTGTGGTGTGCAGCAGGGACCCTTCATGTGCACCCACCAAAAGGCATTGCCATACCTCAAAGTTCCAAATGCAATTTAAGCTTGCTAAGGTGAGTAAAAACTTATTAGAAAATAGAAATGCTGTACAGATGTATAAATCACTAAGGTGGTCTTGGTTTTTGAAAAAAACGATTTTATATTTCCTGCATTGTGCAGGAAACGCCAAACAACAATAAGACAACCTAATCAAGTACCTCTTTGAGAGCCCTCCATTCCACTTGCTCCAGAGTGAAGGCATTCTGTACATCCAGTCTTAAAGGAGCTAAACAATTGCTGCATTGCAGAACCCTGGATTTCCACAGCCTGCTTGTCTGCTTGCTTGAAAAAAGCAGTTTGTACTTTGCTGTTTTCTCTCACGCATATTAATGCAAGCAATCAGGTTTCTACTGCCCTGCGGATCTGACAACTACCACAGCAGCTCTGCTCAATTTCTGTTCCTCACTTCTCTTGTTTAATTCCCCTCCTTCACCCTTTATTTGTGTATTTTCCACTGGAACCGCAGAGGGGTGGCGCACCTGATGGCAGCACAGAGCCTGTACCCCCGGTGTTCCGAGTGCCCCCTGACCGCCCTAATCCCTGGCTGTGCTGCCCTAAGGACCCAACGGAGCAGCTCTACTGCTTAGCTCAAACACACCAACACTATGGAGCTATAGAAGAAAGAACAGACTAGAGCAAAAACTGGATACTCAGTAAAGCTCCTATACATTCCCACCTAAAGCATGAAGCCCACATAGCGCAACATAAAGAACAAGTGGGAAGAATCGAGGTTCTTTCATAGTTACAGCTTTTACAGAAGATTCTGTCATTTCCAAATTAATGTTTGATGAAGCAAACAGCCTTTTCACGACATCAAATCTTCTCCTGTCAGTGAGAGTGGCCACCAAAGGACTGCTCAGCGCCACACTGCCATCGGCTGAAGCAACATCAGGCTGTATTTATGAGAGCAAAAGATAAAAGACATGAAAACATTTTCCAAGCAGTGCTGTTCCTACCATTGCACAGCTCAGTTCTTTCATACAAAACCAATGTAGAGCTTACAAGGCAGCAGCAAAAGGGCAAGATTCCCTTTACTATTGGGCTAAGTGATCCAGAACCAAAGCTCTATGGCATCCTTTAAGGAGAAACATCCCTCCCTACTGTCCATCTGTTCCCCTAGTTCAACTTCTCTCACTACAAATCACACTTAACTCTCACTCTGAGTAAACAGTATCACTCCTCTTGCCTCTACATATTTAAAGGATTTTACTATTGTTTTTGTAAGTGAGCTTAAAAAATGCAAAAAATGAGAAAAACATAGAATGTTTTGGGTTGGAAGGGACCTTAAAGATCAGCTAGTTCCATCCCCCTGCTGCCATGGGCAGGGACACTTTTCACTAGACCAGATTATTCAAAGCCCCATGCAATCTGGCCTTAAACACTTCCAGGGATGGGGCATCCACAACTTCTCTGAGCAACCTCACCACCCTCAAAGTAAAGAATTTCTTACGAGCACCTTGATTTAAACCTACCCTCTTTCAGTTTGAATCCATTCCTCCTTGTCCTATCACTACGAGTTTTTGTAAAAAGTCTCTCTCCAGCTTTTTCGTAGGCTCCCTTCAGGTACTGGAAGCTGCAATTAGGTCACCCCAAAGCCTTCTCCTCTCCAGGCTGAATAAACCCAATTCCCTTACCCTTTCCTCATAGGTGAGGCACTCCATCCCTCTAATGCCCTGCACCATTCCTTCAGCAGTTTCAATAAATGGCCTCAGAGTTTTGGGACTTCAGAGTCTGCCATGGCTCAAGCACTGCTGCTATCAAAGGAGAATTTCTTTCCCAAGGGAGGTGATTACTGTTACTGAGCCTTCAAAACAGTGAGACTATTAGTAAACTAAAATTCAAGCTTAAGTTACAATTTTCTTTTGCTTATAACCCACGAAACCTCCGAAATACAGAAATGTTTAGAAGTTAGGTATCCACCTGCAGTAAATTATGTGCTTCATTTGCTACTGTCAGACTGACCTTGGCTAAGCACTGCCTATGGCTGAAATTCCCACTGGAGCCTGACATCTCCTTTATTGGGTGAGAAACATGGTGAGGCCAATGACATGGTCATTCCTGCTGTTGGGCCCACATGCCACACAGCCACTTCTCCATTACTCACCAAACAACACAGCGCTGGAACAACCTGAAGATCACAGCAGGCATGCAGCAGGACCAGAGTGTAATCAGACAGCTCTGCGAAGGAAACATTAACAGGGAAAGATTGTTTCCAGTGAAGGCTGTACGAGGCTGGCTGCTGGAAGGGGGCCTTTAACAAGGAGCTCTGCTATAGGATTCTCCTTAGCTGGATGTTTGGAAGAGGCTGATCCAACACTTTCCTGCCTGCAGAATAAAATGGGATGGGCAATGGGTCTGATTACCTCTGCCCTTGAGAAAAGGCACTAGTAGAAAAGGGGATTTCCTTCCCATCATTCTTCTCTCCTCCCTAAATATCTCCCCAGTGTTTCACTCCACATCTACAGGCTGAATAAATGACTTAGGCCTCGAATAAATCAAGAACCTACACTCTCAAAATTTATACGAGCTACTGACTTCTGCAAACCACAATCTGAGAGGAAATGACACAGCTGAGACTGCCTTCGGGCTGGGAGATGGAGTAAATGATCCCTGTGGTGCCCTTCAACTCTGTAACAAAAAGGCTGTAATTCCTAACAGGCAACAGGGATAATGCAGCTTTTCAATCTTGATCCAGCTACACTTATGCCTGGACTTTAGCAGCAGACATTATGTCCAAAGTCAGGTGATAATGCAACACACTCAATTAACTGCACCCTGCTGTTAATAGCATCTGAGAAGTCTTACCACATCAGCAGGTTTCTGTTTTCTATTTCTTTTCTGTCTCCACAAATGAGTTAAACTATCCTACCTGGGTACTGTGTGTATATGGATGCACACTGACATTTTGCTGCACAGTGCCACATCTACACTGGACTTCCCTTCGTTACCTTAATGTCAGGAAATCCTTTATATATGAGAGAGAAGAGAAAAAGCCAGGGAAGTCTGTCGTGGACTTTGCAGGTTGCTTTTAATTAACACTCTGATGCCAACTAGATTGTGAGGATGGCATTTGTTTGACATTTATGTTTAATCTCCCATTTCAGTAGCTGCAAAACAACCTTCTAATTGCAGTGTCTCTATGTTAAACTCATTTTTGCTAAATTTAGTTTGCACCTCAACAATATCCGCTGTTACACAGGAGCCATCACCTAATTTGTAATTCTCAGCACTTAGGCGGGAAGAACTCTGGCATGCAATAAGTACAGAAATTAGCTGGCCAAACTGCAAATGCCCACACTCAGCAGAAGCAGAGTCGAGCAGTCTTGAGGGAATGTGTATTTTACACACAAAATCTGTCGGTGATTGAGGGCTGAATTTAATTCACAGGCAGGAATGCTAAGCATAGTATACCAAACTCATAAAAAAGGAACAGAACAATTTATGTTCACTCAGCCACCAACTGCTTAAAGAGAGCCATAAATGCTTTAGCATGGAGGGAGCTTCTAAAAGGAAAATCAAATTAAAAAAAAAGGGCTCTTAACAACGTACCGGAGATAGCACTGATGAGAAGGTGTGCAGCTGAGAAAAGTTCTTCATCCTGAGGCTGATATTTCTGCAACAACAGCTCACTCTGTAAACTGCACCCTGAGAGCTGCAAGAAGTCAAGGAGGTCTCTTTGCTGTGTAAGTTTTAACTCCTCCAGATCTGGCTCATCTCCTGTGCAGATATCATCAAACTGAAAGCAAAAGAATAAGCAAAATTTCTTGAAAAGAGAAAAATTTAAGCAAAAGAGAATGTTCGTGCTATTCTGAAATTACTTTTAGGAAGCAAGCCAAAGTTTCTTCCTCTTACCACATCCCCCAGGGCAGTCACCATTTCTTCATGGAGTAAGAGTTCACAAAGGGTTTTATATAAAGCTCTTTGCTTGTCTTCTTGAAGCTTCACAAAGGGCTGGAACTGGGTCTTCAACTGTAACAGATCTTTCCCAAGAAAGCAGTAAAAAGTAAAACTAAGTACTTCTACACAAATGCCAGTAAAAACAGTTAACATTTTTGCTATGTGTTTCATATGTCCATTTATCACCACACCCTGACTACCTGATTTCCACGAGCACGAGTTATAACGCAAGGCTGAAACAGATCTGATTATAATTCCTAAGGAGCCAATGAAGCCTTAATGAAAACGCTAAGAAAGAAGAACAGCTACCAAGGATCACCATTTGGTGTTCAGTATTTTTAATATTTTAAAATCAGTATTTTAATGCTAACCAAACTAATCACATCTTAATTTTCTCACTTGAAATTTATCTCCAAAATATGTACATTTATATGGCAGAATGACGAGTTCTGCTCATAAATTTACTTCTGATCTGTGGTTAGTATGAATTACAAAGTCAATGGTGTAAGTCCACACAGAGATCTATTAGTATCCTACATTGTTGTCCTCGTATTTCATCAAGTGCAAGAAAGAATTACAGCCCTTCACTCTGGACCTAATTATTACTAAAATAGTCAGGACAAAAATGCCTTCTTAATTGAAATTCCGAATCCATTACAGTAAATACAACAGAAGTACAAGAAGTGCACTGCACTTCTTTCACCACAATTCAACTATGATCATGTAACTAAATACTTTGTGACATCAAATTACCACTTTGCTAAAAGAAAATAAGTTTTCAAATCAATAATGCCAGCTGGAAGGTTGGAATGTTTTTTCTCACATTCCAAAAATATAGGCATGCAAGTGTTCTCAACCTCATTTAAAAGAAATTTTCCTTCATGTCACTCCGGCTAAAAACATGCTCTCTTTAAAAGATGTCCTTTATATCTAAAAAGTTACTTCACTGGGGAAAAAAAAAGCCCAGCCACAGGCAGATATTTTTTTATCTGATGCAATTGTATGACTGTCTATACAAATAACAGAGAAGGAAACCTACTTTCAAATTCCTTAGCAAAAACAAATTTTTTTAGGTTTTTTTCCCCCCAACAGACTGTGCAGGTTAATTAATTAAAAGAAATCTCCAAGCCTTTTAAGCAAGAAGGGCACAAAGGTATGTCAAGCTAAAACAAAACACAGAACTGTGGCATACCATTCTTTTACAAGTAAGTGGGTTTTATATACACATGGAGACAGCTATTCCTTTCAAGCAAGTCTACGTAGGAGAATGACAGAATTTACATAGGGACAACAAATATCTATTCTGGCCACAGTCTACTGAACAACCATTAACAAAGGGTGACATTTAGAGATTAACAGAAGTGATGTTCATCAGTAGAACCAGCTGTAAGAACTCTACCAAGAACTGATGAAAAGCAAAGTGTGTTCTGAGACCTTGATTGGTTTTCCCTTTTTTCATTCCTCCAATAACAATCCTGCCCCTTCTTTCCACAGTCCTACAACAAACAACTTGTACCTGGCCCATTTTACCAATTTTCAAACTTCCATTTAAATCATGTTTTAATTTTGTCAGTTATAAAGCTTCTCTGAAAATAATGAGGCTAATTCTTTGTAATTTTGAGACTTAACCTCTAACTATGAAGCTTTAAAGAGAGTGTTTTTCAAATATGAAAAAGTATTTTCAGTGACCCTTTATGAATGAAAGCATAAATCATCACTAATCTTATAGAGGTTATCTGGAATGTAACAGAGCTGACATAAACACCTGGCTTAGTAAGATCATATTTATGACAAATGGATTCAGGATGTTCCTAAGGAACAGTCCACTGCATATACCTATTGCAGAACTAATTTTTTATATCCTTTCAGTGCATTCCCCAAGAGTTCCTGATAAGAGTTATTAAAATGAACTAACGAGATTTCTTATGTACTATTGTACTAGATTATTTCTCCCTATCATGTTGCTTAATTCACTGTAATGTAATCATTTCTGGTAATACCTTGTTTCAATACACTTATAGAAGCATCACTGGGAATGAGGTTTTTAGCCCCAGAGTACATCTCATTATCAACAGCATCTGGCTGATAGAGAAATGAAGCATCTCTGAATAGAGCTGAATGGGGATAAGTTGAGCCTTCTGTGCTTTCTTTTTCAAAACCTCCTTGCTGTTCATCTAGCAGACAGAACTCTGTAATTAGAAATTCAATTAAAAACAATAATTAATAAAATACACAAGCAATTACTAAATAAGATGCTAGCTTGTATTTCCTAGTGTTCTTGCATGTGATTTCTCCATGTCTCGTCTCTTCCAGATGGAAAGAATGCCAGCTGTTGCTATGCATGTGAACTATTGAGCATTGCTGCAGCCCTGGTGCTTGGTACAGTGTGTACAGATTGAAGGTCCTGCGATGCAGCTGCCACCTACAAAATGTGACACCAGCTCCAGTGAACTAAAGTAATGTAGACAGCAAATACCATGAAAACTTCTCTCCAACACAGTGAAACCTGAATGCTGCATACAGGAGATGCAGGTATGAATTTCTGACATGCTGGAATGCAGGCTGCTGATCCGCTCATGATGGAGACACATGACAGCACTCTCTGAGACTCGTAAGAACTCTTGAGAGTCCTTCACAGAGCTTCTTTTGGTCATGGCACTGACAAGACACCTCTTTCTCAGCTAAGCCACAGGTCCATCCTCAAGTTCTCCAGATGAGTGGAAAATAGAGAGTCTCAAAAGGACATCACCTAGGCATGTTCCCAGAGTCACTGCAATATACTGTCTATTTGCAGTAACTTCATGGAGGAAATAACATGTCCTGGTTGGATTATCCTTTCTGCCTCATCTTTGTGACAAGCACTGACTGACCTCACCCAACCAGGACTGCCCTTTTCCTGCCACCCCAGCGCCCTCAGCTTAAGGGACTCCTGCAAGGTACAGGAAGCCTCTGTAATATGCTGAGAAAGCCAGAGTATCAAGTTCTGTGCTCATGTGTCCAGCATTGTGCCCCAAAGATGCAGAATACAATCAAAGCTCTATGTATATTCTGATCATCTTTTATTGGCTCAAATGCAAGATTTGAATCTGTTCCCCTGGGACTCTGCAGGAGGTCTGAGGAGAACACAGGCAGGCTAGCAAAAGAAACTCTATTTTAAAATAATACCTGACAACAAAGAGGGAAAAAAATGTAACTAATCAAGTACAGTGCTCACGTGTACCAGGCACAAAACCTAAATATAACCTTCCTGCAATTTTAAGACTCTGTCTCACTAAATTAAGGACATTCAAAGCAGATGAGAAAGCATGGAGAGCACTCCATCAGCAAAAAGCTTTTTCAAAGGGAAAGCAGACAAAGAAATCTCTGCCACAGAGGAAGAAAGAAGACAGACCTTTACGCTTGCATAACCCTTTGCAGAGAAGAGTGAGTTACAGAGAAGCAGAAAGTGATCAACACAAGCTAAGAACTTCTCAAAGCAACAAGACTCTGGACAGCAGCTGAGGCACCATCAGGTCAACACGCTCATGTTACTTTCCTTGATAATAACAAGGCTTTCACATGAACCCTGAGGAGGAGGACAGTGCTGACAAACTGACTCCCCTCCTGAGGCAGAATGATGCTAATAAGAGAAATCAAACTTTTCAGATGATGCTGTGTATTAAGAGATACAGACCCTGCTGTTAACTCTTGTAATGGGACTCGATTCAGAGGAAAACACAGGACTCAAAATTTTGTATTAATAGGACTGTTAATGAATTCTGTATTGAATGCTATCACATTAATCGATGACAAACCTCCAATGGTGCAGTTAGAACTTGTTAGTTATTCAGAAACATTAACAAAAATGCACGAAAACCAGAGATGATCAATGAAAGCAATTAAAGAGACTCCTTTGTGTGAAAAGGTGGAAAAGATTAGGACGGTTCAATTTACAGATACTTAAGAGGAAGCAAGCCACACATTTTTCGTATAAAAATGTCCAAGCATGTTCCAGAACATTTTAAAGAAAATTTATATAACATTCTTCCTAACAATAACTCAAGCACTGCCACCGGCATAGAAAAACAGACAGTAAAAAGTTTATCTGCACCCTATTCCGTAATTATCTCTGAAGAGAATCCCACCAGGTTACACCTGCTACAGGTCACTTTCAGTCTCATGAGAAAGGACTACATTAGTCCCTGGATTTAACTTCAAAGGCCATTTCTATTTCCATAAACAGACACTGATCACTGCTGCTTAGACATTAACAAGCTGAAGTTTAGGCTCCACCACACTTATTCTTGCTGGCAAATCCTTAATTTTGTTGTTAATTCCTACCCTTTACCTTCTCAGTGATAGTCAGGCAAGGGAAAATAGCTCAAATTAAAAAAGAAGAGGAAAAGACATAGGTTGTTTGAGATAAAACATGAAACAAGTTGTGCTGGTTTTGGAGCTTGAAAGATATTAATATTAAATATGAAATAAAGGGTGGGAAAAGAAGCAGAAGCGGAAAAAGAGCAGAGAAATACAGATCATTAACAAGACCCATGTATCATCAGCTAGCAGGACACAGGAATTTCATCTGGAAATCACTTTAGGTTATAAGCTACACACCTATGTAGTCAGACAGCCTTAATTGCACCTCATTACTCTAAATTACAGTTCTATTATAACCATGAAGTCAATGTCCTTTGCCATTATCTCCATGTTCAGTCTACGTCAGAGCAATTCCACATTTCAGAAACTTTTTACAAGTTACATAATATTTACTTCTATTCCTGACCCTATAGAATTCCTTAATATCAGAAGTCAATTGAAGGAGAATGATGCAGAATTATCTTCTGCATTTCTTATCCAAATAAAGTGCATCCTGGATTCAAATCTCAGCTGTACTTCAATTATTTCTTCAACGTATCTCCTGTTTCTCTCCACATGAGTCCTTCCCAGCTTCCAGCTCTACCCAGTCCATCTGATTTCCTTTCTTCTTGCATAAAATCCCCTGAAACCTCCTTTAGGTCAGGGAGTTTAAATGAGGACAGACAAGAAAGAAAAACCCAAGTGATTCTGCATAGCAAAGTTACATCCCCCCAAAGCCAATTTCAACATTTTTTTTTAACCTGAAAAATATTCGACCTGACATAAATAAAGCATGACCAGAAAACATGACAAGGACATTTCTGCAAACATTCTGAGGGCAATCTGTATATGAAAATGTAAGTTAGAAAAGTTTAAATTCCAGTCCTGTATGAATGATTCTTTTCTTAGCACAACTGTTGTCTAAACATTCCTGGTTGGCCGTTGATTTACATTCAGGTCACTCTCCTGCCAACAGGAGAAGGGAATAGTACAAGCCAAGGGCCAGCTAGTTAGAAGCAAAATTGCAGAAAAAGACCAGGACAACAAATTTGAGAGGATAAGCAGCGTGCCCCTGCAGTTACTGAAGTTTTCTGCATACTGGGCTGTACTGACAAGAGTGTAGCTAGCAGATTGAGGAAACTGAATTTTCAATTTGGGAGACTGTATTCAGTGTTGTGCCCAGTTTTGGACTCTCCAGTACAAGCCCACATGTACATAATGGAGCAATCTGGCAAACAGTCACCAAGATTGCTGGGGGATGGAGAACAACAGAGATGAGGAGAGGCTGAGAGACTGGGTTTGTCCAGCCTGGAGAAGGCACTGCTAAGGGAGAACCTTACTGTTATCTATAACTACCCAATGGAAGCGTGAAGAGAAGACAGAGACAGATTCTTCTGTATGATGACTGGACAAAAAGCAAGAGACACAAATTAAAGAAAGGGACATTCTCATTAGATATTAAGGACAAAAAACCTTCACCATCATGGTGGTCACACATGATAACAGGCTGCCTGGAGGAGCGATGGAATCTCTGTCTCCAGAGATAACCAAAACTTTAGAATAGACAAGCAATCTGATCTAACTCTGAATTTAGATCTAAGTTCAAAGGCTGGCCCTGCCTTGGCTGGGGCTCCAGCTAGATGACCTCTTCCTCTGAAACCTAAGTAATTCTGAGTTTAAAATGTATTCAAGCAAGTAAAAAAGCATTACTAAATCAGAAGTGCAGCATTTCCAGCACAAATAATTATCAAGGCAAAAGAGACCATACAACATCATCACCTTCATGCACAATGAAGGAAATGCAAAAATCATTGCCCAACGGACAGCTTTGTCCACAGCTAAACTGGGTGCCACAGAAAATGAGCCTTTCACTTACCAAACTTGCCATTGTGCTTTATAAACAGTTCAATTACACCATAGGCAATAGTGGTTGCAGGAGGAATTTCAAGAATCACACTAGAATCCTTCACCATACTTCCGTTTTCACTTACTGAAACCTAGAAGACAGATTTATTCACCATTTATCTGATTCAGCTATTGCATAGCTTAAACCCACAACTAAGGTGAAAAATACAGAGAAAGAATGTGCTTTATTCTCTGTGATGTCTAACTTAAGCATGTAACATTTGACATCTGCAAAAGGAAGTAGATGAAGAGCGAGGTAGAGCACACTGCCAAGAGCAGCTCTCAAACTCTTAGCTACCCTGTCCCAACATAAAGTTGAGTCCCAGGTGCAGCTTTTGCCACACATGAAACACCATGTCACTAGGAAATGGGCACCCACTTCAGTATCCTGCGCTGCCCAATTCTATCTTGACATATTTTTTGCCCAGCTGGAGACTGCTACCCAGAAGGTGGCACTTGCACAGAGGGTGGTTGTCCTGCAACTCCCAGATTTCTGCTACTGGAAACACCCTGTACACAGAAGTGATTCATCTCTACCATTAAAAAAAACCCTTAAAATGAATAAGCATATGTTTTGGCTTTGGTAATTCCTTCTCAATTCACAGGCAGTTTTTCAGATATCCTCACAATGCAGTTAATCTCCAGTCCCATGATCGAAACCAAATAGCTTCCCAATAAATACGAAAACTCAGTAGACACTGCAACCATTTGTGATGAATGATTATTTGGCTTTTCAAATAAATTTGCTTCAGCAATGCATTTTCCTATTCAACTTCCAGTGAATTGCTATACATTTGCTTTATGTTCTGCTGTAGGCAGGAATCTACACAGAAACTGAATTGCAATTTGATAGTGTTGATGGAAACTACATTCCAGACTCACACTAAAAGATGGCATCTTTTGCCAGAAAGGCAAAAGAAAAAAATATTTTGCCTTTCTGAAGTTTCACAATTAAGCAGTACAGCAAATTCAACATGTTAAGGAAGCACAAAAAATACTCTGAAGCCTATTTGGAGAAACCAAAATTTCTTCTCAGATAATCTGCAAATGTTCCATTCCTTGCAGATTTTTAACAACTTTTACCTTTATTGTTTTTGCAGTGCATCCCATCACACCGCTGACTTTTTCTTCTGTCTGGATATGTTCAAATATTGTACACCTCTGAGTTGTTATTATCTTTTCTCTCAATATGCACAGCACTTCCCGTTTTCTTTCTATTACTTGTTGCAGTAAACTACTGTTTAGATCTATTGTTCTGAAAAAGAAAAGACACCATTAACAACATAAATACTAGAATTGTGAAAAAAAAATATTTTCTTAATTGCTTGAAGAAGTTTTTATTGTAAAAACAACAGTGGTTTCTGTATGAGTAATCCCCTCAAAATTATTATGTCCTCTTTTGTTATTTGGTAGCAGTAAATATCTGTATTCCACAGTAAGTCCTGACACACATGCTGAAGTCTTGATTACTTACTCTTGAGCACAAATGGCACTTGTCTGGCTACTTTCTGAGCAAACAAAAAAGCACAACTTGAGACAACTTTAAGCTTCCAGGGTAATATGAAAACAACCAGCCAGGCTTGTGGACACTAGACTGAATCCTCTCCTACTCTGAAATTACCATGGCCATAGCAGCAGATGCCACACTAAGAGAGCATCGCCTCAATGCCGAACCTCACTGCTTGCCACAATCTGTGTCAGTGTTCACTTAAACCCTGAATGGGCTGAGAGCACTGACCAAGTACTTCAAAGGGCTGGATGAGAAAACACAAGATTTCATGGTTTTTAAAACTGAAGATCACTGAAAAAAAACCTGCTACAAAATCCTATGTATAGACTCAAAATTCAAAATTAGTGACCAGGACTGTCACAGTCAAAAGGAAAACTAACTGTGGGAGGGACCTCAAATCTCTAGCCCATGCCCCAACTTTACAAGCCATCCCTACTGAATGATGTAATTCAGCATGTTTTTAAATGCTGCTGGAGATAGTTCTAACATTAAGCTCTTCTTAGAATGAGCAGAAGACAGAAAGTGAATTCCCAGAAACAATACATAAGGTTTATTTTCTAAGAAAATGTTACAAAATCCTCTGTCTTTTGGGGTGTTAACAGATTTTTGGTAGCAGTTAAAGCAACTTCTTAATTGTATTTAATTGATTAAAATATGTCAATTATATTATACTTTTGCAAAATACTCACTGGAGGTCCTCAGATGAGATGTCGTATTTTCTGTGAACAGATAAGTCCAGCAAGACAGCTGGAAGACTAAAGGATTGCTATCCCTGGCTCAAGTTATTCAGTCTCTTCTCCTCCCTTTTACTGTAAATGGCTATTCATGGAGCTAAATGGCAATTCCCCAAAAATGTGACAGAAAGACATGTCTGACTCCACTTCATCTAAATCGAGATATCTCCACTTTTAATTAAAAAGTTTTAGATTTATTAGATTCTGGAGTTTGGAATTTATGCAGTCTGTGTAAGTCTGAAGTCAGCTTGGGTTTTTATTGAATTAAAAATATCCTCAGGCAATTTTTGATCTTTGGAGAGTTACATGCTTATATGAAAGTTCAATCAGTTGGAATGAACTGTCTGAAAACCTTAAAGTTGATTGTTTAAACAAGGGAAAGAAAATACCTCTGAAGCAGTGCAGCAGCCACTAGAAAAGCACCCCCAAACATTCCTCAGATTATTAATATAACTCTTCTTTTCTTTTTGGTGCAAAGCCATGCTTTGTGCTTGGAATGCAATGAATCTTTGGATTAAGCAAAGATTGAAGAAATGTCAAGCAATCACAAACATCACTGCTCTCAGAAGTGTCTGCCAAACCAGAGTCAATAGTTATCACAATAACAAACCATCAAGTCTATCATATACTTCACAATAATTATTTATGTTTCTGAAGTGGTGTGCTAAGCATCTCAAAAATACAAATTAATGCACTAAGACCTTGCAATTCTAACATTTGACCTAGGAAGCCACAAGGGGAAAAATATGATGAAATAGCATAAAAGCAATTTTTTTTTTAATGTATATTTTTGGTTGGTTTTAGAGGATGACAAACTTGCTGGATATCCCTAATATTAGAGGAAAAAAAACCCTAAACAATGTAAGGTAGAAAAATACAGATTAAATAGAGACTTGCTATTTCTGAACGAATGTCAATAAAAGAAGCATGACCTAACTCTGTACAAATGATTTACAAAATAATTCAAGAGACTTTTTCTTCCATCTGCTTCTCCAACATTCTGCCCGAGGCAGGACTGGCTCAGACCCTGTCACACTCCTGGCTCTGAGGTCCAGATGCAGAACTAACAGGAGTGTGGCAGAGTGGAAGACACAAGTTAACGTGCAAAGAGGCATAGTGAACAAATTTAGGAGACAGTGCTGGAGGAGCTGCTGCAGCACTAGAGGCTAAAGAGCAACAGCAACACACAAGGGCACAGAGTTCACTGCCTGGCCCCTGATGTAGCACTCTCACCTCAAAGGTGACTGGGGTCCTCCACACAGAGCTGCATGTGTGGCAGACACATGGCCACTGCCTCAGTTCCAAGGTTCAAGTGACTTCAGTGGGCTGTGTCCAATTGCAAAGCTGTCAGAAATGCTCTCCTCTGCCCAGAAAGTTTAGTGTCTACTGAATTCAGAGCTTTAAAACACGCACCCTTACCCACAGGTACAAATACCTTTTGTTCTAGGGCAGCACAGTTAAATGTTCTCTTCCAGACTTTCTATCATTAAACAGACTCTAGGGTTGCGTGTGGACACATCACGAGTTATTACTGGGGCACAGCCTGTTGAAGGCAAAACATTCTGCTCTTCTCAGTGACTCAAGTAGGAGATGACATGAGGTAAGCAAATACCCAGCTTATCTAAATTATCATTGAAAGCAGTCATCAAGAGCAAAAAGCAACAGGGTTAAAGTTTGACAAGCAGAGCAGGGCTTCAAGTATTGCAGGGCAATGGCCACAATCTGTAACTGTATTTTTGCAAGAGCTCAACTTACTTACTAGCATAACACTGAATAATACGAGTTATACATGCATGCAGGCATATGAATTGCATTGCATTTTATTATGTTACAGGTCATGTTTTAGAGCTTTTATTTCTGTTCTACAACCATTGCTCTTACTGTCTCTCCCACTATCTATTGCACAGGAGCCCTCACCAACCCTGTGCCACCTGTCCTACATCACTGTACTCCTGAGCTGAAGCACTATAAAGTAACACTGTATAAAATACAATGAAATTTTGGTTTGTTAAGTCCCATTATCAACACACAGAGTATGAGCCTGATCATTTAAAAGGGTTATAGCATTTTGCTTGTTTGTTTGTTCTGCTTAAATAACCTTCCTGGGGTCAATGATTTACTATGCTGGAAGCTCTATAGGTCAAACATGTACAGAAAATAATCTCTTTGAGTTTTGGTCTCACTCCCCATTTAACTAGATTCTCCTATAATGCAAAGACTTCCTTCACCCTCATTCAACTTTTTTTCTTCTTGCATGAGAAAAGTAGTGGAAAACAGAAGTACAAAGGCAATTTTCTGCATACTGAAGGCAGAAAAGAAGGGAGAAAGGCAGAAACCAAATGAAGATAAGAGAAAACAGACAATACGTGGCAATATAGCAGACTCACAATTAAAGCAGAGAGCAGGTGCCTGGTCTAAACCCCCCTGCTGAGACTGAGGGTCTTTCCTTTAGGCACAGAATTTGATCTAATTGTCCAAAAAGGACAGGCCTTAGGACCATTTTTCTATCAAATCGTGCCTGGTCTTCTCAGTAACCCACCCAGGAATCTTCAAAGCAAGAAGCCTGCCAATTTACAACAAATACCAAGAATGGTTACTGCTGTGAGCACTCTCCATCCTCACATTGGACTCAGCACTGCTGTCTGCCTGCACAGATTTTCACTAGTCCAAACTACTCATGAGTGAAAAACCTTTTCAGTCCTGCACTGGGCAATGTCACTGCAACACACCTCCTTTCCTGGCTCTAGAGACACGGGCAGCCCACACTCACAGCCTCCACTGCATTTATAATGTGCAATAGTCTGATGTCTTCCATACAAATGCTGCTTGTTGCACAGTGAGAGCCTTCAGCCAGCTTTGATCCTGCTCTAATAGAGACATCTTGATGAATGCCATGGAGTAAAATCCACCAGACCTCGCTCTGCCACTTTCCACCAAACACAGATGGCATAGTATTTATTTTGTTAATCCATTTCAAATATAATCTCTCTGACCTACTTCTTACAGAACACAGCACCTGCAATAGTCAGCTTATTGACAGCATTTCACTATTTTCCCTACAGAATAACCTGACAATTACTTCACAGAACATCTTCCCCAAGAATACCAGAGACTTCTCAGACTGCAAGAGACAGGTAGTTCCTCTATTTTCTCCCTATTATTTCTCCTTTAAAGGTATGCTCCTTATGTTTTAAATCACAGACACACACAGTTGCTTTTATTCAATCCTGTCTCATAACATTCTGTGACTTCATATTACCATGTAGCACCTTTGGTGAATGATTTTCTCACCATACTCATAAATGCTCAAAGAGGTTTAATAAATAACAAAATGGTCTGAATCTCCATGGTATTCAGATTAAGAACAGGCACTTATTTTTGTCTCAGTGTGGACAATAATATGCACTTACACTGATTCAACTATAGTGCAATATGCAATAGTGTAAAAGTATCTTTCAACTATGCCAGAGTATGCTGCTAATAACATACTGTTTTCCTAATATGCTAATCACAGAGTTAGGAATCATTCACATGGTATGATGAAAGAGTGACAGGCAATTTTTTCTGCAGCTGATGTGAAGTGACTGGCTGCTGCCACTTGGTCCTATGTCTGCCGTCACTGTCATCTCAGAACTTCTCTTTCAATCACCTCACACGACTTCTAGTGAAATGGTAAAAGCAAACAAGCAAATTTGTTAATCCATGAGAACTACAGAGATTATAACCTCCTCATAATCCTTTTTACTGGAGGGAAGAATACAGAATGGTTGAGGTTGGTCTGGTCCAACCCCCTGCTTAAGCAAGGCCACCTAGAGCAGTCTGCCCAGGATCATGTCTCCACGGAGGGAAACTCCACAGCCTCCCTGGGCAACCTGTGCCAATCCTCAGTTACCTTCACAGTGAAAAAGTCTCTCCTGATGTTCAGACAGGGCCTCCTGTGTTTCAGATTGTGCCTAATGCCTCCTGTTCAGTCTCTGGGCACCACTGAAAAGAGCCTGACTCTGTCCTTCAGGTATTTATATACATTAATAAGATTAATGTAGCCTGAGCCTCCTCCAAGCTAAGCAGTCCCATCTCTCTCAGCTTTCCTACAGATGTGAGATGCTCCAGCTGTTTTCATCACTATAGTGGCCCCTCACCGAACTCTCTCCAGTATGTCCATCTCTCCCTCGTAGTAGGAAACTGTACACAGTACTCCAGGTTTGGCCTCAACAGTGCTGAGCAGAGGGGGAAGGTTCACCTCCCCCCACCTGCTGGCAATAGTCCTCCTCATGCAGTCCAGGATACCACTGGCTTTCTTTGCAACAGGCGCACATTGCTGGCTCATATCCCGGGATCCCCGGGATTTTTTCTGCAAAGCTGCTTTCCAACTGATCAGGCCCCAGCATGTACTGTTGCCTGAGGTTGTGCCACGTGCAGCACTTTGCACTTCCCTTCATTGAACTGCATGAGCTTCCCACCAGACCAGCCTGTCCAGGTCCCTGTGCATGGCAGCGTGACCCTCCGGGTGTTATCAGCTACTCCTCCCAGCTTTGTGTCATCAGCAAACTTGCTGAGGATACACTTACTGACCCCATCACCCAGATGATTAATGAAGGTGTTCAACAGGACTCAATGCAGCATTGTCCCCTGGGGTACATAATTAGTCACTGGCCTCCAACTAAACTTTGTACCACTGATCAACACATTCTGAGTCCAGCCCTTCAGCCAGTTTTCAATCCACGTTACTGTCTCTGCTTCTACAGCCCATATTTCATCAACTTCTCTATGAGGATCTTATGGCAGACAGTACTGAATGCCTTAAAATAGGAGATGGAATATACTCTTAAATCCACAGCAATCCAACTAAGTTAAAGGCACAGGATTCTGACCCAAAATCGGTATGTTACAGTACTGTGTGAAAGAGCAAGCACAATGTAATACAAAAACAAGACTAATGTAAAATGAAATATGCCAAATATCGCTTAACTTTATTTTAATATTGCATATTATGTGTTCTGTGTTTACAATGTCACTGCTTCTGCAAACCAGGAAGGATCTCATCCCACATCCTTCAGTTGTCATCCCTTTTCAAAAAAAGGAGCCATTGCAGCATCTGGAATCTAATTAAAAGATCAGTAGGATTCTCCTTCAGAAGGTTCACCTAAGAAGTGACAGGAAACCGATTAGCTGCCACTAGCACTTCCAGCTTGCTGAACTCTGAAGACTCACATGACTTAGTTTAAAAGGCATAATGGATTTGACTTTTTAGAGTTTTCTGCTATTTATCTGCAACTTTGACTTAATCAGCCTAATACAAGAACATATTTAAAATGCAACTTGATTAGGCTATATATGTAGAAATAATAAATAAAGCAATGATTGACCAAACAAGCATAAGCACCATGTGTCATTTAATGACATCAAGAACACTTTGCTGATGCTCATTTCACAAGGACTGACAGGTAAACATCCTCTTACTGCCATTAACATTTTGCATCCAAAAATCACTAACCTGTAGGCACCAGCATTCCCCAATTCCACAAAATGCTCCATGAACGAGATGCAAGCTTGAAGCTTGGACACAATCAATCACAAATCATAGAATATTTATATTTATGAACAAGTAAGCAGAATTTAATCTATAAGGCACTGCCACCATTTCCAGTGAGCCTCTGCATTACGCTGAAGAAAAAAAAACCAAATTCTGCTATCGTCACCATTTTCAGTGACCTGGCAGAAGGCAGACTGACTTGATATCAGTTATACACTGTGCATCAGAAGCTTTAATAAGCTATGAGCATCTTGTCTATGAATTGAGAACTAGCTCCTTGCATAAAGTGGCACACACATCAGCCTTACTTACAGTTACATATAGATTGGTGTAGAGCTACTGATTTACTCAAAAGAAGATAACATTTCTGAGTATTTAGTTACACTCAGGATTATAACACCAAGATGTGCTGCTTCGCTACGGGAGGATTCTCTGTGTGAATCTGTTTATTGATCTGAATCAAAGTTGCTCTAGTTTCTTTCTCTGTAGGACTTTTTCTAGTGCTAGAAACAATCCTGACTGACACTACTTTCCTGATATTAGATGCGTATTAATTTTACAGACTTGGTACACACATTTAGCCCCGTATTTTCTGCTTTTAATAAGGCATTTAGCACAAAGAGAGCAAGGTGCCTTATTAGAATAAATCTGTTGCCTTGTGAATGCTCATAATAAAAAGAACACCAGCCATTTGTTCCCATGAAAATGCAGAATTGATTATTTCTAGAACATCAGTGTATCTAAAGCAAATTTACACTGCTTCTGACAACTTCTGCACTGATAACAAAAAGCTATCATCTGTATCTTCAGAGCATCAGCAAAGGTTATTAAATGGCATTACACCCCCTGCTGCGGATCTAGAGTACAATGCTGTCAAAACCAAACCACCCTCATCTCCCAGGAGTCAGGACCTGCAATACAGAGTAGATCCCTGACTTGCCAGTTGGTTGCCAAGTAGACTTTGGTCCATGACTGCCTTATTGCAACATTAAATAAATCCAATTTCAGAGTAGGATAGAAAGTGAGGAAGTGTTGTGTATCTTGGAAAATACAGAATATGGTTCCCCTCCGTTAATACAGCATATAACAGGGAGAAATAGATCTGTATTTTGTTCAACTAGTAGAACATGTGTTGACCATGCTTGCTCACCTTTGCTATTCCTTCAACTTCAAGTAATCCAATTTTCAAGCGCAGTTGCTCACACACACACATATACACACAATTACAAAACCTGCTTACAAGAATATTAATAGTTCTGAATTCAGTTTCCACAGCATTTGCTCCAGTAACATAGAGACACTAATGCATTTTTTTCCAGACTCTTACCTCAGTACAGTCCCTCAAAGAAGGGATAAACGTATTCATGCAAATATGTAAGATGAAATTACAGAGAGATGTTTTTAAAATGAAAAGTTTGATCATCAAGATTTCAAAATACGGAAGATTTTGGTTTTGTATATATGATTGATCGCCTGAATACGAGAGCTTACAATAAAAATAATTTTCAAACTACAGCAACACTATAAACTGACTGCTCAGCAATTGTACAAGTCTTTTCAGCTCTAACCCTTCCTGGCCATTACAATGCCAATGTTAGAAACATACCTGTCCTTGACGTCTTTCATAAGCTGCTGCAAGTCAATCTCCTGCTTCCTCAGGTTTCCAAATGAGGACTGGTTTTCCACATAGCCCTTCCCTCCAGCTCCCAGGCTGATCTTTGAAAACGATGCTTCAATACTTCCTTGAATAAAGTCTTCAAACTTCCCCATATATTTTGCAAAGTCAGACTCCACAACCACTAGGAAAGCAATAAAAGTAATTTCTACCTGGGAAGGGAAGTACTGAAACGGTCCTGAAGTGACTGGAACAACAGACACTTACAGAAAATATGACAAGTTAGTGAAGGCAGGGAACAGCATCAAAAAGTAAATAATGAAATTTACAGCTCTGCAACTCTTATTTCTATTTCCTTCATGTTTTCATCATCTTTGCTCTGCTATCTTTTATATTTTTGCCATTTTAGGAAAACATAAGGTGACTGAAATACTGAGCTCAGATACTATGGAAGATTTATAAAGAAGGATTGAAACTTATTTCAGCTACAAAAAAAACCAAAACCAAAGCACACCCACTTGTACAACAGGGTTAGTATTTTGGCATTATCTTGGCATATCTCCTTACAGCGCTGTCCCAAAGCTCACTGAAAACCAATTGAAGCATCTGTTTTAAAACAACTCAGAATCTTATATACCTACAAACCTATGAACTGACTCAGAATCAGCTAATCTTCCAAGCTAATATCTTAACTTACAGACTTATTTATTTTCCTGTATGGAATTGTGACACGTCCAGAAATACAGGATTCCATCTTGTTAATCCTAAAACCTGGATGATGTAGTTGGATGAAGAAAGAAGTGCAAGAGTCAACCATTTTTAACAGTCTGTGCAAGATTAAAGGAAGCAGTGGTAAAACTTGCTTGGGCTGGCCTGGCCTGTGCAAGCATCCCCTGGGCTACTGTCACCAACAGGACACTGTCTATTCACTGCTTTTTGACCCGGAGCACAGTACAGTTTCACACTGCTATCACATACTGGAACCACCCAAAAATATTATATGGGAGTTCCTGTGACTGCAGACAACAGTATTATTAAACAGTAGGACTGACAACCTTCAGCACTCAATTTCAGTAGTCTACACAGGCAAACATTTATTATTATTATTATTATTATTATTATTATTATTATTATTATTATTATTATTATTTCAGTTAAATAAACAGTCAAGTGAGAAAAGAGGCACTCATCTCATTTCCACAGATGGAGAACACTTCAGAGCATTCCTCTGAAAGGAGCCCTCTAGTAACATGACTGAGAATAATAACAAAAAAGATTAGGGTTTGTATTCTTTTTATCTGCAGTAACAGTGCTGACCGAGTATGGCTTTACCTGGTTTTATCGGTTTGTCTTCAGTAAGCACATCACTCAGGGTGACTGTCAAGAAATGATACTTGGGCTTCTGCCAGCACCAGAATTTCCTCCTCTTCGTAACTAAGCTCAAAAGCTGTAGCTTCTCTGAGGCGTTCAAATGGGAGACAGGGATCAAGTCACCTCCACTGTCAGTTTCTCTCACAAAATTCTTTGTTGCTTTTGCAAACATCTTGAGGAATCAATTAAAGCCTGAAAGAATACATCTGCTCTCAAACAACTACAGTTGGAAAGTAGTCACTTTAAGAAGTTCTTCATAGTATTGGTATTAATGCAAGAACAGGTAGTGTTTTCATCCCATCTTCTCCACTCTGTCCTGGGAATGACAGTTCAAACAATTTATCCTAAAGTAAAAAAATGTTCACAGTAACAAACGAAAGAATTTTAGTTAAAAGGAACATTCACAGGTAATTAATCTATTAGAGAAGAAATAACTTACTCAGCCTACCTGAAATTCTATGAAAAAGCCTCTACTAGTGAGCTCCCTGCAGAGACTGGCTAGGCTGAGGAGAGCACTGGGGCAGTGGCAAAGGATTTTTTTTTCTTTTATTACCTAACATAAAACCATCTTACTCCATATAAGGTAGTTAGTTATTACTCCCACAAATTATCCTGATCTTTTTAACAGGGAGTAAACACATATAGGGATAATAAAAATCATTCCATAAAAAGCAACAAATATTTGAGCTGGCATCTTTGTTACTAAGTTTTGTTTCTGAACTACACTCCTGCAAAGTTTCAATTAATTTTTTTCTTTATGAAATCCTTTTTTATCTCAAATATTTTCAAATTTTCTATTTTCCATTTACATAACTACAGCTAAATTGAACATATGTTATTTGCAAGTGCTATTCATATCCACTAAATAGGTACATACATATCTTATTGTAACTTTTCAATGATTTTAATTTAAAAATATCAGCATCTCTTATCATGTAAGATTTCCTGTATCCCCAGCAACACATTTTGCGGTATTTCCAAGGAATTTTTTCAATAAGGGAAACTGGCTAAATGCACAGAAGAAATTGTAAAAATGACCATTCACAAGTGCTAAACGTGCAAGTCTAATAAACTAATATTTGAACCTCTTAAAAATCTCATCTTTTTTAGTTTTTCAACTCCATGGTTTTTTGAGCTAATGGTATCTCCAGAATTAAATCAATTTTTTTAAAATCTGGCAGTGTTCCTTTGAATCCCCCAGCTGACACTGACTGGAAAGTTCAACTAAGATCATAAGCTGTCTCAGCTGGCTATCCACACATTCATGATTAATTACCTGCCTCGTTCTGCAGAGATCTTAGATTTGTCACTGACAAATACAGGCCAGAGTAAGACAGAACAGACTTCAAACAAAAATGGATATTGCAGTGAGCACTCAGCATTATTAACAGAAAATGGAAACCTGAATAAAGATATTACTGCTTGGACCACAGCCTCCATATTTTAGTATCGGAGGGGGAAAAAAGCCTTTTTGCAGATGGAAACTTACCTTTCCATTAGTCTTTCCCAACTCCCATTTTGGATATTTCACACAGTATTTACCAATTCCTGTTAAGGTAGCTACCACCTCATGAATCCTCCATGGCCTAGTCTATGTAAGCAGTAAAGGGTGTACAAGTAAAGGGTGTTTTCCAACAACACCTGCCTCAAAAGGATTTGAGCAATGTCAAAGTCACATAACATTTTACTAAAGAGTCTTCTGGGGCTTTCACTGTAATTGCAGCTGCAACAAATCCTGCAGCACAGCCTCAGCTGTACGCACTGGGAATACTTCCACTCACTTTTTTGTTCTCTGACCTTTTCCTAAACTGAACTGAGACTGATTTTTTTGCATTTCTCCTCTTTAAATTTCCCTGGTTTTAATCTCAGTGAGAACACTTTAACAGAATAAAGCAATGAAGCTCCACTGCAGAAGAAAAAAAACAAAACCGAAACAAACCAAAACTAGCTTTCTTTATCCCTGGGACTTCTTTTGCAGGACACTGTATTTTGCAGTCAGATGACTGCTTTGTAATGGAGGGGACCACCAAGAAAATTCTCACGAGGGAGAATGCATGAGCTTCCTGCATGAGCTGCCTTTCCCTAGCATAACCTTCTTCAAACATTTCTGTGCTTTACATGACTGCTTGCTCATTCTGATCACCTTCCTACATAGCCAACTCACATAGGCATAGTCTCTGAAAAGAAAAAGGCCACCAATTTCTGAGGAGTTTATCATAAACCAAATTGCAAAAAACAATTCCTAGTATTGTTACACTCATTAAACTTCATGTGAAAAACCACTGCACCATTCTATTAAACTTCCAATTCATGGTATTTTGGCTTCACTCCTAGGCACCACACTTCTGACAAGCAAAAAGAACACCCAGGAAAGAGCATTGTGCTTGTGAGGACTGAGGAGACTCACCAGGCAGGAGAAATGGGACAGTTTTCAGCCTCAAAATGGCATGTCAGTGTCTTCCACACTTTGCTGTGCTGGGAATGTCTTTGCAGGGAGCATAGTTGCTGGTGCAGCTGCCCCTGCAAAGCAAGAATATTCTATCCAAACTGCTGTTTATGTGTCTCTGGATACAGCGCCTTTAACACAAATTTGAAAATGTACCCAAATATCTTGTTTCCCAAGTTCACAAAACAAAGGCAGAGAGCAACTGAATATGCCCTTTGCCAAGATCAGGGAACTCCTCCTATGCAGCCACCAAGAATGACAGCGTCCTGACTGATGGGACATGGATTGGTTACAGACTCAGCATTAAGAAAACTCTGCCTCTGGAGCTTCTTCCTCTGGAAATTTTAGTAGAGCTGTGCTTGGTTTGGTAGAATTAAAAGGGAAGGTATCAAAGCCGGTAAGAAACACCTGTCAGAGTGAATTCACTCTTACAGATTGATAGCCAGGCAGAAAAGCAGAAAAGGAAGGAAGAGCACCTTTCTTGCCTACTGAGAAATTTAAAATTAGCCTAAACCTAAGCTACAAAAGGATTATTTAATGACAGGGATGAGATCAAGCGAAGATAATTACAGCAACTCCACTGTTTACTTAAATAAAAAAATCTCATCCAGTTCCTTTGCTTTATCACAGCTCCCTAACTCAGTACAGTGGGGCATTAGATCCAAAGCAACATTTGATGAATAATCAGTGTTTACCTCTGTCAGCATAAAAGCAAGTTCTCAGCAGTTGCCTGATATTTCTTACAGTCTATATACTTTACAGTAAATACAAAAATGTCTTTTTTTTTTTTTTCTATTTAACATAAGGTTACGCAGCACACTGGGCACAGTACACAGGGAATTAGGGTACAGAATGGCAACTGGATTGCCAAATGCCGGCATACCCCTTGCCAAACCCAGCTGTAAGGAAACCCAACCCCTGAAGGCCAAAGAGGACCGGGCAGGAGCCGCGGTGTTGGAAGCGCTATTAGTCATTACAAAAAGAGCATCCGTAAGAGCTAATACACAAAGCCTAGCAGGACTATTCACACAATGCATTTCAGTCTTTGGACGCACGTGGTCTCCAGAAACACATCCAACAGATTTTAGCCCTGGATGTGGCCCTCTTTTGTGCCTCAAGGACTGCGCAGCACGTGTCTCCAAAGACCCGAGCACCGTGGAGGGAGACGCGGCGTCCTTTCCCGGGATGCCAGGCGCCGTCCTGTCGGGTGCTAGGACTCTGGAATGGGGCCGAGCCGCCCTCGTCCTGGGTGAGCACACCCCCGCCCGCCCCACGGAGACCGGCTCGGGCAGGCGAGCATCGCCCCGCCGGGCCCCGCTGAAACGCCACTCAGAGCCGCCGCTCCGAACTGCGGCCATTCGGCCTCGCCCCCGCGGCGGGAAGGACGGCGGGGCTCCTCCAGCCACCCCGGGAAGGGCGGCGCGGTAGCGATCGGGGGAGCGCCAGGCACGGCCGGGCCTTGCCGCCGCCGCGGGCCCGCCCCCGTACTCACGGCATTCCCGGCGCTCCCCGCCGCCGGCACCGGGGATGCGGCGCGCTCCGCCCGCAGCCGTGACGGGCCGAGCCGCGCCCCAGCCGAGGCGCCCCGGGGGGAGGGCGCTGTGCGAGCAGCCCCGGGAAGCTCCCGTGGCAGGCGGAGGGGCTCCTTGCCGGGCTGCGGCGCAGCGGGGGGAGCGCAGGCCCCGCCCGGGTGCCACGGTCGAGCGGGCGGGCGCGGAGCAGCGCCCGGGGCACCTCTGCCGTGTTGGGCGGGGGCCGCCGCCCCAGCACAGGACAGCGGGAGGGGCCGGGGCGCTGCCCGTGCACCCTGTGAGCCCCCGCGGCGGCTTCTGCCGCCCCTGCCATCCCTGCCCGCAGCTGCCCCGGGCGTTGACAATCCCGCCGTGAGGGATGGCGGGATGGGCTGCTGGCCGTGCTCGCCGTGTCCCGGAGCGGCGGGCAGCGGTCCGGCACAGCGGGAGGTCTCGGTGTGGGGCTGCCCTGTGACGGGCTGAGGTGCGGGGCTGGATCATTCCCACGTCCTGTCACATTACACAGGCCTTTCCCTACAGGCAATTGCCTGACAGGGTTGAGGTGGAAGTCTTTATGACATCCTTTCAAACCTGGCTCGGGTCGCCCGTGGTCGGAAATGCACAGAGCCAATGCAAAGTCTGCTGGAAGCAACAGCCCTGCCATGTTTTGGGCTGCAGCTTTGCAACTTTAAGTTGCCACCCTTTGGTGGGCCTTGCGAAGCTGCCGTGGTCCGAATGGAAGCTCCCAATCCAAGGTCCCTAGTCCAGGGACCTTGAACAGAAAATGAGAAATGTCAGTGGAGCATGGAGGGCGGGTTCATGAACCTCAGCATGAAATACTGAGCTCCATCACCATATCTCAGCTCCCTGAGAACAACACAACACCACAATAAAACAACTTGGTTGTTTATGATTCCAAAGGAGTGATACAGTGAGAAACAGATGAGTCTGCAGAAACCCAAGTAGTATTTCAAGTTAATAAATATCAAAGAAATTTTTTTCACATGAACCATGCCACAAGCTGGGTACTTCCCTTGTGGTTTGAGGAGAGAGCATTTGAGGCTGTGGGGTGTAGTGACAAGTATCACATCACCAGATCTTGATGGACAAACACCTAGGCTTTGGAAAAAAGGGAAGTTGAAAGCTGAATGTCCTTAAATGAACAGTCCTGGGTGAGAGGTAACAGTTAATGCATGTAGCTGAAGTAGATCCATTTTTTCCTTAGCTACTTACAACATCTCAACCTTCCAGCTAATTTCAGCAGATTCTAATCCATTGTCTCTTTCTGATTTCCTGAGGTGACGCCCTTATTGAATCCATGATAAAATAGATTTTCCTTCTGGGGTTACACCTGCTTACAGAAATTTGAAAAAATAGCCAGGATGGAACTAAGTACCAGCATTTGTGATAACTTAATTTTAATGAACTAATAAAAATTATAAAGCTCCATTCTTAGAGCCTCATCCTGAGAAAAAGCACCCACACATCCTCAAGAGATGTCTTTTTAGGATCAGCATCGAGCTGCAGAATTGCTAGCTCCAGTAATAATCTGGCCAGTAATAGCACTTGTTTCATAAGCTATCATGTGTTTTTCCAGGGAGTGGCAATGTGTGATCCATTTCACATGCAAGAGTCTGCTAAAGCATATTTTGAGAAATCAAGGCAGGAAGTTGCACTGAACCACATTGCCATGGAAATGTTCACTGGGGAGGGATGACTGAAATAAAACTAGTGAATCTTGCTAGTCATTTTAAGGACATTGCCAGCAATTGCATGTACACCAAATAAAGGGTGTCCACACTAGGAATATTTCCACATTTTCAAGAAAAATCTTCAACAGAAATCTTCTATCCACTTCAAAGACACACACTGATGTAGGATAGTTTTCAGATGCTTCTGATTAGAAGAGAGAGAAACATAAGTGTGGGTGTTAGCAAACGCTTTTGGGGATATGCGGCAATTAACTTAGAGGCTTCAAAAACTGTTACCAAAACTGGCTGCAAATAGGAGACATTCAGGATTAAACACTCACTTTGAGTCTTCAGTCTTCGTGGAAATGTTCTTTAGGTGCACTACGCAGAGAAAATTCAGAGCCCATGGTTACTTTGTGATCAGCTGGGATGCCAGCAGGGAGAACATGATATCAGAGAAATACACATTCTGAGTGTGGTCTGTACTGGGATCTGTCTGCCACATGCTCCATCTCCCGAGCTGAAGTATGAAATGCATCACTGCTGCATTAGAAGATCCTTCTGCATTTCTCCTGCATAAGAAAATCCTCTTGCAGAAGGAAGGGAGGGAGAAAATCTGAAACTTTTGCCTCTGGGACAAACTGGTTTTGGTATGGGACAAGTTCTGGCTACCTCGTTTAGATAAATAAGTAAAGTGAGGCAATTGACATGAGAACTTCAACTTAAAAACATGAGAACTTCACTTCAACTTAAAAAATGAGTAATGCACATAGTAAGTGAGTAAATAACAGAAAAGACAGTAGTCTGAAAGGAAAAAAAAAGTCCCCCCACAAAATAGTTGTATGCTTTTGAGCACAGCTGTGTGAAATTCCTCAAGTGTAATATTTAAGATAAGAGATCACTTAGCAAGTCACCACAAGATGTCAGCATTGCAGAATGGTTATTCCTGAGGAACAGAAAAGGTCTTTGCATTCTATAAGCATTTGGTATTAGATTTATTAATGGTATGTAATGCCTTGTAGCCATTAGTGTATTGTTTCAGGCTGTATCCAGCCTGACTAGAAAGCGCTCGCTCAAATTTTGCCTGTATATTGAAGTGTCTGGAGGTCATCCAAAGGTCTCTGTTGCTCAATGCTAGGCTTTTTTTAAAACCCTCACACTGGCTGGAGAAGGGTCTGCTAGCCTCAGTTCTGTAGAGGAAGTGGGAAGAAAGTGTGAAACTATTTTGGGCTTCTATTAGAAGAGAAGGATATTTGGCGTAGCAAATCTTTTTGAAGGTATCCAGCAACATAAACCAAATCATCAGCGAAAGAATGAACTTCTTTTTTCTCCATTTCCTTTCGTGAGAATAAAAGATCTGAGCAGCATTTTATTTGTTTATTTCCTATTTCTTTCAAATCAACTAACCAGCCTCATTTGTCTTTCACATTAAAATTCATCTCCTGTTTTGGTGGGATCCTCTGTCCTTTTCGCCTATGCCATTCAGTCCCCTGAAACATTTCCTGTTGCAAACAACAGCTTTCTGGCTCTCCTGCTGTTACAGCTGTCACCAGCCCTGCCACCGTGCCAGCAGCAAGTGACAAGCTTAGCAAAGTGCAAGTGACGGCGTTGTGCCTAGGGGAGGTGAGTGGGATGGTGCAGTAAGCCAGGAGGGACTGTGTGAGTTCAAAGCAGTCAGAAAACCATTCTGCTGCATTTCCCTACCCACTCATGTGAGCTTCTGTCTGTTCTGCTCTGACACCTTTAACTGTCTGAAGATTTTGCCTGTAAGATGAGTTGGGCCACTGTTTAGAGGCCATCTTGTATTGCCAGGTTCATCTCTGCTACCTTTACAGTCCAATATGAGGAAAAAAGAGTTCACTTCTGGACCTTTTAGTCCCTTGGAAGGACCACTGGAGACTGCCATGCTGAGATGCAGAAGGAGGCAGACATGCTCAGGATAACCTGTTTGCTGTAACTCAGATCTTGCTGCCTCAAATATTGATGTTGGCATAGGGGAAAGCAGTATTAATCCACCTTTCTGTAGTACACATGTTGTGGCACAGGGCTCCCCCCTGCCATTGTAAAAGCTCTCTTAACCCTGCAGTGAGAGTGTTTTTGATATCTTTAAAGATCTACCTACGAAAACCTTGTGATTATTTGATGATTTTTCCATAATTTTAAGAAAATTGTCAGAAGAGGTAGATGAGGATCTTGTCTAATAGATTGTGGTTACCTAAAAAGTCATCTAGTGATGTGGCCCTTCTGTTGGAGGAAGTCCAGAGGAGGGCCATGAAGTTGATAAGGGGACTAGAGCACCTCCCCTACAAAGACAGGCTGAGAAAGCTGGAGCTGTTCAGCTTGGATAAGAGAAGGTTGCGTGGAAGCCAGAGAGCAAGTCTTCATCAGGAGTTGTAGTGACAGGACAAGGGGGAATGGCTTCAGACTGGAAAAAGAGTTTAGATTAAACGTTAGGAGGAAATTCTTTACTGTGAGGATGGTGAGGCACAGGCTGCCCAGAGAAGTTGTGGATGCCCCATCCCTGGAAATTGTTCAAGGCCGGGCTGGATGGTGCTCTGAGCAACGTGATCTAGTGAGAGATGTCCCTGCCCATGGCAGGGGGTTAGAATTAGATGATCTTTAAGGTCCCCTTCCAAACCAAACCATTCTATGATTCTGTGATGTCTCCAATAATAATATGGAGAACAGATTGCATGAATCTGCATGAACTTGCTGTTTCTAACTTTAAATTGTAGATTGGATGGCAGTCACAGAACCATATTTTTTTTACAATAATGATAAATGAAGACTTAGGAAGTGATAACTTTTCTTCGGTGTCTCAAAAGTCTTCCATAATAGTTTGTTATGAACCATCTGGTCTCATTAATGTTTTATTAAAAACCATCTGGCTGCTATATTGTTCAAGCTATTTAGCTGTAAATCTTTCTTATAAATTAGCCTAAAGGAATGGCTATCAAACTATTGTGTAGGAGCCCCAAACATTTATGTAGGTCCTATATAAACAGTTATTTTAAAAGTATTAAACTATAATAAACTTCCACATTAAACTACAAAAGTATAAAAAATGTATCAGTAGTAAAATCTTGAATTAAGTATATTCCCTATGCTTCTTAATTTTTCTTGTTTTCTTTTTTTTTATGTCTTTAATTCTTGGCCAGTTGGAACAGGACCTACAAAGTCAAATGATGAACTGCATCTAAATAACAAATATTAGGGGGTTGTGTTTCAATGAAACATTGCAAACAGAGGATACTTGTCACTATGACTCCAAAAAATGAGGCCTTTCATCTTTGTATCTCTACACACATACACATTTCAGACTGTTAGTGCTCTAAAGTGTTCTCTTTAAAATCAACCTGTACAGCACATGGTTCTATTTAAAGTATAGTTGTACAGCACCTAGTACAAGGGACAGCTAGGCACAACTGATTGTAAATGATTATGTAATATGCATTGTTTTAACAAACTGTACTTCCACTCATAATTGTTCTACTGTTACATTTTCAGATCAGTAAAAAATTAGGGCAATTCATATTGATTTTGCTATTTATAGACAACCTCAAAGTTACAGTGAATGGAAGAACTAAGGAAAGCATATCTAAAGAACACATAGAAAGTTTAGGACAAAACTAGCAAAGCGATAGGAGTTAAATGATCCACGAGAAAGAGCCCGTGGCTGAAGCTGCCTGTAGTAAGAAAGTTCTCTTTGATCAGCTCCCCAGGTTTGTTGTTTCACGCAATTCCTCTTGCATCCTCTGACGTGTGCACAAGCATCCTCAAAAACCCTCACTATCTGACTGCAGGAGCAAATTATTTGGGCAGAATTTTCCAAAGAATCGGCAGTATGTGATTGCAGTCTCTCTTGAGGCAGCCAGCTCGATGGTGTTTGTATTGCATTGCTTCGGAACATGTCCAGAGTCAAACCTTGCTAAGTTAATATTTCATTGAATAACACCAGATGCATGTTGTCATCTACTACAACATTTGTAGCAATAGCTTTATTATGAGTTAAAACAAATTTTCTCTCTCACTTTTGTTTTTTTGTGCCTCCTCTGTTTTATTTCCCAGTTATTTTGCAACTCCATAATCCCCCTTCTCGTTACCTGTTAACTGTCAGCTCAGTCTCAGGAACAACGGAAATTCCTGTTCCAGAGCAATCTGAAGGGGATTTCTCCAGAACAAAACAAATGCAGTTTTAAATGCCCACGAAGATAGAAATCGAGAATTTTGTTTAGAGATCTTTGAAGCAGGCCATGGCCCACAAAAGCAGCAGATGCATTGAGGAGAAGACCACAAACAGCAAAGAAGCCAGTGGCTCTAGAGGGTCCTGAGGATCTGTGAGGCTGCATTGCTCCTGCAAGGTGAGTCAGGGTTGCTGCAGCTTCCCAGGGACTCTGCAGCAGGAAGTGCCAGGGGTTGTCTGCACCTTCTGCTGTAGAAATGCACACTGCAAGGGAGGACAAAAGGAAAAAACCCACCCCATTTCACACAGGGCTGATAGTTCAGCCTCACTGGGTACCAAGACTAAGGCAGGCCCTGTGTTTCTTGTCAAGGCCATCTCATTTTTCAGCTTGTTATTGCTGCCTCCTAGTTTCAGCATGTGAAGTGTTGTCTTTTCAACATCTTACAGGCAGTGGGGTAAGAACATACCTGGGTTTTCCCAGCTGAAGGGAACAGGATGAAAAAGAACACAGGTTTTTTTTGAAACAAGGAGCAAGGGCTGGCAAGGAGCTGAAAAGTGTGTGGGCTGGTAATTGCACGGAGTTTCTTTTATGCTTTGCAACAGCGTTGCCCAAAAGGACAGCAGATACCATAAAGGGGGTTCTGTGGGTCAAAACAGATTTGTAGATACAAAAGTACTGTGACCAGTTCCAGGCTTCTCAGTGCAAGAGAGAGATGGAGCTCTTGGAGCTGGTCCAGCAGAGGGCAACGGAGATGATTAAGGGACCAGAAAGAAAGGCTGAAGGATCTGGGCCTGTCTCAAGAAGAGACGACTGAGAGGAGACCTCATCAATGTCTGTAAGTACCTGAAGGGGCGGTGTCAAGAGGATGGATCCAGGCTTTTCTCAGTGGTGTTGAGCAATAGGACCAGAAGCAGTGGGCAGAAATTGATGCACAGGAAGTTCCTTCCACTGGGAACATGAGAAAGAACTTCTGTACTGTGTGGGTGACCAAGCACTGGAACAGATTGCCCAGAGAGGTTGTGGAGTCTCCCTCTTTGGAGATATATAAGAACTATCCAGATGCAATCCTGTACCCTGTGCTCTAGGATGACTCTGCTTGAGTAGGGAGGTTGGACCAGATGACCCACTGTGGTCCCTTCCAACCTGACCCATTCTGTGATTCTGTGAAAAGGCTGCAGCTGTCCCTCTGAACAGGGCAGGAACCACTACAAAGCAGTGGTGTCCTGCAAATTTGTACTGGTGGTGGCTAGGGATAGTCACACAGCTCTGAGTTACTGACATTATTTGTTACACTGCAGTTATACACACAGACCAGGTCTTTGCTTTGCTGGAAAAAAACCTCATGTATGAAATAACGTGTTGGACTGTTCTCTGACAATTAAATATGTAGTTTATTTGCTCTATCACAGGACTAAAACTGGTGCCCTTGTTCCTTGCACTGCCCTTGTTTTTCTGAATGATGTATTGATTTGGGTGAATGGCATCTGTAACAGATGATGCGAGTACCCTTGGGTGGATGGCTTTCTTACTGACAAGGAGGGTACTCTTGCCAACCACAGTGTAAGCAATGCAGTTTGTAGGAGAGAAGGAAGACCAGCTGTGTCCTGAGAGGAAGCATTAGTAGGAAAGGAAACAGTGAGCAACTGGTACTGGGAAAGCAGGAACTGCAGTTATTCTTTTGGCCAGGACCTCGTGACTGCACACTTCAATACTGAGAATCGTATTTCAACAATATATATTCTTTCCTCTCATCCCTTTCCCCTATCATGCCAAACAAACAATTCCTGCTGGTATCCAGACCAAAGCATTCACACGAGCATCAGCTTCAGGAAGCTTTGCAGCTAGACAGAATACAGTGGAGCTCCTACTGTGGCCTTTCTTGCAATGTGGCATATCCAGATCTCTTTTTCAGTTCCTGATATTCACAAAAGGTGAGAATGTAATATCCTTGAGTTCTCTACCCTCCATCAACTTTAACAGAAGCTTTACTCTGTCTCCAAAATGAAAGGGCACAGGTTAAGGAGAGGCTAGGCTCACCATCCTTTAGTCCCACCAAAGGATTTAAGAACTGGGTGTGCTATTTTCAAACTTCATAAGAAAATTGATTTTTCCATCCAAAAAACCTGAAAAGCTCTAGTTGCCATCACAGGATTTGTTTCACTGACTGAAGTGCAAGTAACAAACAATGAATACAGTTAGGATGATCTCCTGACTTCATCTTCAGTCTATCAATTGCTGAAATGATAACAAATCTAAGAGTAAACAAAACAGTAAATCTCTCCCGCTATTAGACAAGTTCTCATCTATTGATAAATCTACATAATCTTCCTTGCTCTAGGCAGCAATCTAGGCATTGCAGACATATCCTCATAAAAATCTAAGGAGGAGAGGATTTTTCAAGGCATGTACTGCAGTCATTCAAAGTAGACTTATGGCAGCCAGCCATTATTTTTATTTTTTAATACAAATTGAAAAGTAAGAAATTAGTAATTTAGGAAAACAACTTTTTATAGAGAAGTTTTAATAAAGCAGAACAATGTTAACTAAGCAAAATAAAACATATTTTCAAATTCTAACAACTGGTCTTAGTAAAATAGCAAGTGAAACATCAGCTCAAAAAAATCCTCAAAGAGAAGTAGTGCCTTAGAGAAAGACAATAATTCTTGAAATTACAGTCAGAAACATCAGCTGAACCTTCATACACAACATCTTGTGTTCCAGGAATTTATTACTGTTTCAAGAGTCTGTAAAAACTTACGCCATTGAACCCACAGAGACAAATTCTCAGTTAACTTAAGCCTCAGTTATGCTCAGCTCAGCAGAGCAACACTGATTTACCTCAAATGAGAGTTTACACATTGTAATTTAAAATATTTCACCTGATACAGAGTAGGCAAAGATACAAATTCATAAGTCTACAGCAGAATTTGGTATCTGGCCAGCTTTTTAACCCCATTTAAAAACACAGAGTAACCCTAAAAATTCTTATGCGTCTGCTACCAGAGGGGTCTAAGTTAAAAATCAATAAATTGAGCACAGAGAGCAACATTTGCAAGATAAAAGAAATATAACATAGGCATTAAAACCCAACCCAAAAAAGCCAAGATGTGTCAGTTACTATGCAGGGCAAGCTTTCCCGTCAGTGCTTTTCCTCACACTGTGGTGGTTTGAATCATTTTGCAGTAAGCAAAATGACTTTAAAATAGAGATTAATGTAAAGGAACAGACAACTGAGCTAAACCACAATCTGGATGCAAGGTCTATATGAGCCAAGTTTACACCTTGCACTTCTGCAGGGGAGAACAACCTGTTTTGTCTGGGTAGCACTGACCACACTGTGGGTACTTGGCATGGTATAAGCTCAAGAAGCAAACACGAGAAATTCACTCCACATCAATTTATCTCTAAACCAAGTTC